CAACTAAGCAAAATGTTCGGTCGTGTAGGAGAATGAGTGGTGTTACCATGCTTTCTTAATATTAATTCGACATTGTTCCCTTGAATTTAAACGAAATATAAGTAATGACACTATGTCTTCATGCATACTTTATGGTATCTTCATAATAACCTTATATTATTACTAATTAGAATAGTGGTGGGAATAGAGGAAAACGCCATTTAGAAAAAAAACATCACTGGGGAAGTCTAATATGAATACTCAAACATGCTGGGGTTACAATGCACTACTTTCATAACATTGGACGTCTATACGTGGTACGTTTATCACAAACTGAAGCAACTTTTGACTTTCGACATTTTGTTGGCCTAAACACGCATAAATCAAAGTAATAGGAACTGGATTTCACTCATCCCATGATAAATATGTAAATATGCGATATTTAGAGAAATAAAAGAGGAACATGTCATATTTGTCAAAACTCTATATTTTTTCGGGTAACGTCAAACCACTACATTGTAACCAACTTGAATAATTTAAATTGTGCGGAAGGTTTTAGCAGTGTAAAATATGTGTATATTGCTTGTGTGTAACAGAATGAAAACTACTTGTGTATTGTTCTCTGGTAATTGATATCTCCGCACTACTTACCACTCTACCCATTTTCGGTGCTAAACTAAATCTATAGTTTTATAGATTGCCTGAAAGCGAGAGTGGGGACTACATTTTCAGCAGGGTCGACATCAAAATACATTATCAGTGGACGGGACACACCTTGTACTCACTTTGAAAAAAAAAATTCTGAAGCAGAATTAATTTTCTCTCTAATTTTTTAATGCCTTGCCAGTCTCAATAGAACACATTAAACATTCCAAAGTAGAGTACTACATTCAAAACCAGATACAAAAATATTACACACTAGTTATTTCAGACCAGACAGTGTTACCGCAATCAAATGGCAACACAAGTCAACAAATCTGGTATGAAAATAACCATAATACTAATACACCAATAATATATCGTGCCCTCTGTGTGTGAAATGAAGATTGTTCACAGAGTCTTTTTACGATCCGGGGTCCGTCAAAAATATTTTAAAGAAATTTGCTATATTACTCAAAAAACTGTTTTTTTTTAAGAGGGATGATTTGTTAAAGGATCTTGGAAAGGGTCATTTCTCAAACTCCTTAAAAAAGCATATGTAAAATGGTAACTCTATGGTCACCCACAAGTAAGAGTGGTAAGGCAACATCACATGTCTTAAATTAAAAGTAGTAAATAAATTGTTGACAATTTGGCAATGAGGAGGACATCAGGGTGAAGGAATGGTAACTATAGATATAACTGAACAATATACAGTACAAACCACACACACCATATTTGCTCTATTAGAAGTTCCGTTAATAGATTCACTTTAAATGTTAGTTTGAAGTCCACCTATTTATTGTTTGTATACATCTCTATTGAGAGGAATTTTTAAATAGAACATGTATGGTATATAGAGAAGTTTAATTAGTTATTTTTTTTCTTGCACCAATTTTTTTTTCATATTCACAGGTTTCAAA